GTGTGTGTGTGTGTGTGTGTGTGTGTGTGTGTGTGTTTTTAACAAATGAACCACAGAAAATAGGTTACAATTCAGTTTCACCTACAAGAAAACGTCTTACCAAAATCATAGCGGTAATAGTGCCAGCTTTCATAGCGACCTCCTTCGTGGTGATCTTCCAGACCTTTCTCACCATATTTATCATACTTTTTCCTCAGATCTTCATCTTTTAATACTTCATACGCTCGATTTATTTTCAAGAAATTTTCATGTGCCTCTGGGTTGTTCTGGAGAAAAGAGCACTGGCGTTAAAACTAAAATATTGAGAAAAATACTGAAATCTGCCCAGGACATTTCAATTTTCAAAAATATTCTGACAGAGGCATTGTATTAATTTTTAACTGTTTTATACGTACGGTATGTCAAGAAAGCTCATTACGTTTTTGCTAACTTTGTTACAGTGATGTGTGTGTGTGTGTGTGTGTGTGTGCGTGTGAGAGAGAGTTTTAAGTGAACTGTAGCATGAGAATTAAGCAGTTGGTGATATGACTTTTACGTTCCTACACGCTGGTGTAATTTTGCTTCTTTCTGAATCTTTTTATTTATTTCACTCTCTATAGCTCACAAATTATACAGGCAACTTCTCACAGAGCCTGAAAGACTGCTAAGGAGAGCTAGGCAGAAATCTCACCTTCTCTTCCTCCTCCTCACTGGCCAACATTTTCAGGATTTGAGCTTGAAGTAGAACAAACGTGGCTATTATACCCATAGCATTAAGACAGATTCTATTGTTGGGTGTGTAACTCAAGTAACAAATGTCACACTGCACAGCAAACCTGTATAAGGTTTGACCTATTTCAAAAGGAACACCAGCTGCTCATTTTATAGAAATGCATGCACAGTGTTCTCAAAGTGATTATTATTACTGATGGCTGACTGGGGCTCTGATTACCAAAATAATGGATTTATCATGCATCCTTGTAGTTTGCTCCATTACATTTCATGGATCTATTATTATTTACCCTGAAGCTATATATTAGTGTTTCTCAACCTTGGCAACTTTATGATGCAGGCTGTGGAATTCTGGGAGTTGAAGTCCACTTATCTTAAACTTGCCAAGTTAAGAAACACTGGTATAGATTATATAATCAAAGAGATTTGACTACAACCTCTGGAACTCTATCCATAATTAAGACGCATCAGGTTGAACATGAAGAGAAATGGTTTCTTGGAAGCAGAAAAAAAGAGAGAAGTGCTAACTGTGGAAATTTTAAGAGTTTCATGGGTATTTCCCCTTTCGATTATATAGGAAGCGCAAGACTGTACAACTGTAGTATTACATATTGTACTTTCTGAAACAATTATACCAATTAATCACAAAATACCACATTTCCCTGAAAATAAGACCTGGTCTTATATATATATTTTGCCAATGGAAAAGGCACCAGATCTTATTTTTGGCGGTGTGTGTGTGTGTGTCTTTCACTGACATACCTTGCGGCGGTACCACAGCCCGACCCAGCAGGAGCCCGTTGCCAGCAGGAGCCCGTTGCCATTACCCCCTTCTTTCGCGGCTGCTTGCCACTGCTTGTGCGCATCACCCCCAGACTCTGTTTTGCTGGAAAGGCCTCTGCAGCCAGGAAACAAGGTCCAGATTGACACATGCAGTGCCCCCGGCCTCCGTTTTTGCCATCAGAGGCTCTTCCGGAAAGCCCTATGCAGTCGATAACAGAGTTCTGGATCTAGAACTTTCATTTGGCACATGTGTAAAAATCAAGCTAGGACTTACTTTCGGGGTAGGTCGTATTTTCAGGGAAACACGGTATGTATTACCACAAGATATTTAAACATTTGTATGTACATTTCTTAGTTGACAGGAAAAGGTTTCCTGTCAAGCCAACCTACCTGGTTCTTATCAGGGTGCAGCTTTAGAGCCAACTTTTTGAAAGCCTGCCTAATTTCCCTACTTGTTGCTTCTTTGGATATTCCAAGTAAACCGTAATAGTCTTGAGTTGGATCAACTAAGGCTACAAGCCATATTAAAATGAGATACAAGGAGACAATTTTTATAAAGTCTCTGACATGTTGTCTTTTGGGAAATGAGGTCTCCATTATGAATATCTTGGCCAAGTGTACTTAACAACAGACTTAACAGCTCTCACGCTGATGTAACCTGGACTGCATATATATCTGAAGGAGATTCTTGTAGGATTTTTGCTGTCATAATCCAGGGATGGAAATGTATGCTTCTTAAGTAGACTGGGCCTAGGGAAACAACAAACAGATTTTAGGTCCTTTATATTCTACAGCAAATTCATGACATGAGTTCCCTCACTGATTCCCCCCGTTTTCTCTAAAGCAGTGATGGTGAACCTATGGCACGCGTGCCACAAGTGGCACAAGTAGCCATTTGTCAGGGCACGCGAGGCGTTGCCGTGTCAGCTGGCCAGCACGCATGTGCACGCTGGCCAGCTGAGTTCATCCTTTTTTGAAGCCATTTTTTGCCCTCCCCAGGCTCCAGAGGCTTTATAGGAGCCCGGGAAGGGCGAAAAGAGCATCCCTCCCCACCCGGAGGCCCTCTGGAGGCTTCATGAGCTTCCCTGAAGCCTCCGGAACGCAAAAAACCAGTCCTACAGTCAAACCGGAAGTTCAACAACGGACTTCCGGTTTGCTCGGAGGGTCGTTTTGACTGCTCCGGAGGCTTCAGGGAAGCCTCCTAAAGGTCCCTGACGCCTTTGGAGCACTTAAAACGACCCTCCGAGCAAATCGGAAGTCATTTTCGGTGTGCTCAGAGTGTCATTTTGACTGCTCCGGAGGCTTCAGGGAAGCCTCCTGAAGGTCCCTGAAGCCTTCGGAAGGCATCCGAGGGGTGTGCGGGGGCGGGGGAGGCTCTTTTCGCCCTCCCCAGGCTCCTATAAAGCCTCTGGAGCTTGGCAAGGGCAATAAAAGCATGCAAAAAATGTGTGGGGGGGGGAGCACCTGTAGTTCGTGCATGCACACTGCGGGTCACACATTGCATTATGGGTGCGGCACGCAAGCACACGACCCCCCTGTGCTCCCCCCACTTATGGCACGTGAGCCAAAAAAGGCTCGCCATCGCTGCTCTAAAGCATTCAACACAACTCTGCTTCTATCTTGTTCTGCAACTGTGCTTGTAAAAAGACATAACTGGAACTTCCTCAAATTTAATTCATTTTCTCTGTTGCTGCAAACTGTTGATATCCTCCTTGGTCCAAAACATCCTGCACTGATAATAGTGACAATAGTACAACATAGTAAATAGTACTAGAATAAGCATATTTTTTTTGGAGCAGAAGAAGCTATGATTGCAATGTCCAATCTAATGAAGAGAAGGACTAGGGGTGACATGATAGCAGTCTTCTAATATTTGAAGAGCTGTTACAGAGAAAAAAGGGGGGGAGCCAAAGCACCTGAGGATAGGACAAGAATTAGGTGATGGAAACTAATCCAAGGAGAGATCCAACCTAGAACTAAGGAGAAAATTCCTGACAATAAGAACAATTAACCAGTAGAAGGGCTTGTCTCCAGAAGTTATGGGTCCTCCATCATTGGAGATTTTTACAAAGAGATTAGACAGGTACTTGTCTGAAATGGTATACGGTCTTCTGCTTGAGTAGGGAGTTAGACTAAGACCTCCGAGTTCCCTTCCAACTCTGTTATTCTGTATTCTCATTGAGTGTAAAATAGGCCATCTATTAGGAGTGCTCAGTCAAAAGAGAAAATAAAGAGGAAGAATCATAACCTTAGTGACAAAGCATATACTGGGCGCTGGAAGAAAGTTCCAGGTTCTCTCCTTACATTATCAGTTGAATGTAACTAAGGAACCATGAAGCAAGTGACAGGAAAATCCATTGGCAAAAGGATCTGCCAGCACTTGCCTAGAAAGACAATTAATTGGTTTTGGAATAAGGTGGCCTCCATGTAATAAATTGATTATAGAACCAGTTTGATTCAGTTTGGTTAAGACACCAGGTTAGAAGTCAGGAAACTATGGGCTCTAGCCTGGCCTTAGGGACAAAAGCCGGCTGGGAGACTTTGGGCCAGTCACTCTTTCTAAGTTCATGGTTGAGCAACAAGCCACCTAATCAAATCCTGTTGCAACCAACGTTATCATAACTCTGATGATCTGAAAAAACCGTGGCACGACAAAACCGCGAAGCCCTTATCCGCGGAGACATAAGCGCGTCGCTAAAGCCGCGACGTCATCACCGCACATCATCACCGCCGCAACAACAGCGCGGCAACAGAAGGGCGCTTTAAAACGGCGCCGCGGCAGAAAGCCGATTTCAATTAAGGTAAGGGTTAGGATCAGGTTTAGGGGTTTGTTTTAGGGTTAGGGTTAGGTTTAGGGTTAGGTTTAGAGTTAGAGTTAGGTTTAGGGTTAGGTTTAGGGTACTGATTAGGTTTAGGGTTAGGTTTAGGGT